GTAAGGTACCTCCCTCTGCAAGCCTTACTCTGCGTGTGATCATGTACCCGCGACTCAATCGCCTCCACTGGCCAGGGCTTTGGGCCACCGGATGGCAGGTTCGAATTTCCACGCCTGCCATTCTCAGCCAGTCGCACTGCTCCGGCAGGATCAGGGAGCCCCCGAACCGGCCTCTTCCCACAGCCTCTTCCCTGCCGACCTGCCCCGCCGATGGACCCCGTTCGAGAAAATGGGTGTTTTTTCTTGCCCCGGTCCAAAGTTCCTTCCTTCTTCCTTGAACCCAGCAAGTGGGTCTCTCCAAATGGAAGGAAACGGCCGTCTGGGTTCCTTCCTCTCAGTCACTTTCTCTCTCAGTGCTCTTTTTCGCTCTTTCTTTTTGGACCCTGGCATGCAACAAATGCCACCCACCCACCTCCGTCCCAATACATCCACCATTCGTCGTGGTGTCCTGGATTGGGGTTGATCAAAATGAAGCCGTCGATACTTGGAAATCTGGGACACCGCTTCATAAAGTTCGGACACGCCAGAGCTCCTCCCTCCTCGTAGGGACCCACCCCCTCTCCTTCTGTAGCACTAGACAAGGGATCCCACTACACTACGACTCTATTCTTGTCAGCGACGGCCATGGCCAGCAGCCAGATGTCGACAAGTTTGCCTCATTACGCCAATGACAAACACTAACCATCAGAGAATCCAATCACCCATCGTCCACAAGACTACAGATACACTGCGCTGAACTGCTTGGGTTAGATTGGCCGCTGCCAACTTGGTTCGCGGCTCACATTCAGCCACCATTTGCTTCGAAACAGAAATGCCCAACCGTCTCGGCTCAGGAAGCATCGTCGTCAGCGGAAGCACTATGCAAACCGCCGTCGTCATTCGGTTACCCAGTCCCTCCATTTCGATTGGGTCTTCCCGTCCCTCCTCTGGATGTCATCCCTGATGGCTCCCGTCCGCCCAAGCACACACGCCGCTCATTGGAGGCTCTTCTCTAGTGATGATGAGCTTGCGATGGCTATGCTAAACAACCTATTCTTTCAGTGAAGCACTAGGCCGCAGGCCGCAGAAGAGGGTGTCGAGCTCGTTGACACGCGGGATGTGATACACGCCGCATGTGCCTGCTTCGGCTTACGCCGTAGAATCCAACAGAATCCAACACAACCCCGATGCAGGCATTCTCCGCCATGAGATGGCAACAAAGGCTCATCTCGTTTCCCATGCCGTTGGGACATTTGACCTTCGTACTTTGGAAATACCGTCGAAATGGCACGATTGGCAGGGGGGACACCAGGGTCGACCGCCCGCTCTGTACTGCCAGCCACACGGCACGTGGCATGGAAGGGCCTGGGAGCCGAAATCTCACTGAAGAATCCAAAAGCCAACCCCAATAGGACCCCTACGACGTATCCGTACCTGGTCTGGTTCAAACCTTCTTCTGCCTGCTCACCCTAGGCGCAGGCAATCGTGCCTTTACGTGGGTTGAACTCGGAAGTGAGCATTTCAATAGTAAGTGGTTATTGCTCGAAATGGTCGCTGCTTGACAGAGCAAACCCTGCCGTTGAGAGTGAGACTATGTGGCCTGAGGTGGCATCAAGGGATCGCCCACTACCAAAACGTCCCCATCTTGGTACCCGTGATGCTTATCGGAATGACTAACGGACAACTCAGGAGCCGGAGCGCAACCATATACTCTGCCGCGATATTAATCCGTCACCCGTTTCTCACGACGTCCCGAGCAAGTTGCTACATCGTTGCCAATACTCGAGGGGCACAGCGACACGTACTTTGAGACCAACAACTTCCCAGCCAACGCGGCCGAGATCACTCATCCATACAGAGGATGCCGGTTGGTTGACAGTCACACCAATGGACGATACGTTGCGGCTTTCCAACGAGGACCAGGCTGTTTCCAGAAGCCAGGCTAGCGTGCCTAGAACAGTTGACGCTAAGGCGCCGTTGCTGCACGAGTGGCGCTAGGTCTGCAGCGCCTCTACAGCCCAAGTATCTCGTTATCCTAGGGATCCACGATGTAGTTGTTATCAGGGAGCAAGATCGTTCCAATCGACTGGCTACACACATGGTTGGCGGGAGCGTTGGTGAAACGGGCAGCTGTTAAGTAATACGGACTCTGACCAACCACTTTGTTGAAACCAACAGCCGGCCAGCAGATGCATTCATTCGGCAATGTGCTCATCTGAAGACATTCGGGTCGTTGCAGCGCTTTCTTTCTTCGGCTAATGCCTCTTCATGCTCATCCGCGAGCGTCTGGTCGGTATCTGTCAATACGGACCGAAACTGCTGCGTAACCGTCGGACAAGACGGTCTGCCGTAACATGACCGACGCACAATAAAGGGGACGCTTAATTAGCTCGTGGGGACGGATATGTGCATCAAATTCCCCGTCGACGAGGGGTCGCCGCCCTGCCTTGCCCAGATTCTTGCTGCTGTAACCAGCCTGTGGGCCAACATGGGGCCTCGCTGAGCCGACCCGAATCGCACGAAATGCCCCTCGGCCGTCGATTTGATTACGCACGAAAGTCAGTACCTGCTGTCGTGTAATGGTAGCTTTGCTCAGTAGCTCAGATCTCTCACAGATACCAGCGTGTCCGGGAGGTATGTAGGTTCTGCTGCAGCGTACTTCGTACAGCGGCATACAAGTCATAGTGGGAGCATTCTCCATATCGAATTACCAGGGAGTCCCTCTTTGAAGTTACATCACTGGCAAAACAGGGGGGGCAATTGTCCATCGCTGACTTGCAACCGAAGCATTTTGCTGGCAGAGTCTTCCTTGTAGCAATAGGAGGAGGATCCCGGTCCGGCTCATTGCACAAAACGGGGGCCGAATCGGAAATTGTCCAAAGACCAGAGAGGAGTAGCGACCGCCGCCGAATCTCCAAGCTAACAGCTCGCGATCACCATTCGAGAGTCCCGTCTCGCTGGCACGGCCCTGTCTTTGCAATTGATGAATCGCGAGAAGATACGGATCCAGCTAGCGACGACCTAGCTTGGCCGGGCGCAGCCACGTTCTATATTGCATCACGAGCTTCCGCATTACAGAGGCAAATTGTGTCCAAAGAAGGACGGCGTCAACGGCCTCGCTCCCGCGTAGCCAAAGCTCAAGAAGATGCGCGTCGGCGGTCGCCGGGATCGTTGGCTGGCGTCAAGTCGACCAGCACCCTGAGAAAGAAAATGGATACGTAACGATATCAAAGTTTTATTATGGTTCGCCGCCAGTCTTGCAGCGATACGGACATGCATCCCGATTTAGCCCACAGGACCGATCAGGAAGAAGGAAACTGCGTTCACAATGAACTCTCGACAAGTGCGCTTCCTTTTTCTCTGTCACCGACTTGTCAACTGCATCGGTGGTGTGCTCGTCCATCTCCTAGACAAGTTTCGATGCCCTGCCAGTTCAGCACATCACCATCCAGAACCAGATCGGGCCCCTGTCTTGCCGTGAAGCGGCCGGGCGTGCCGCGAGACCCATTCGCCCGGATGGCCGACGTCCACTTTCAGGGCGTACGAACGGCTCGGCTGGTTTATTCAAGCGTCCCGTCCAAGACTCCAGCCACGGTGCGTTTTGCTGGCGGGACGGTGCATTCGGGCCAGGGTGCAACCCCTGGTGTGTCTCACTCACGCAAAGGATTGAAGATATCCCCAGGTCTGGCGACGTGATTGCTCAGTCCAGTAACGATTGACGTGAGCTGTGCGGCGAGTGCTCAGCCAGGTCCGATTTTCACACCCCCTGCGCCACGTGTGGCCTGGTTCAAAATGCCGTCTCTGGGCGTTTCGTGAAGGCATCGCTAGGAGGCATACGGAGAATAGGCGAAAACCGCCCCAGGCCTGGCCCAAGTCTCGCCAAAAGGGCGGTGACTGCCGGGTATTGTAATCGTCGTTGAACGTTGCAGTTATTGAAGTGTGCGGCGACTGACTTTGCACCGTGTCAAGCCTTGTAGATCACAACCCAACTCAACCGAGCTGCAGTACCAACTCTCTCGTTGAAGACCTGTCTCGCACGGGCCCCCTCGGTAGGTGTGAGTGGCTGCGACCATGCGGTCCCTATGCAGATAGTCGACTACATTCATCTTCAGTCTCGACTCTGCCGGCTCAAGTCATAACACCTCTGGTTGGACTGCCGGCTATAGCAAGGTGCCTAGACTACCTTTCCTAGACTCTTGCAGGACCGACTTGTGCATCTTTTTATCCGTCAACGGTTTAGCAAGACATCGGCAATGCAAACAGACGCCTCTACAGTGGCAGGTACCCCAGGATATGTGGCGTGCAGGAGAGATGATGGAAAAACTGGAGCTTGGATTGCCATGTTTTGGGACGGAGCCAAGACTGATTCACGTCTCACCATTCCTGCGGCTCGTCTCCGCGCTGCAAGCCCCCCGAACATGCTTCGCGAACGCCAGTCAACTTCTAGAGCTTATCAGACATTCGGGTCGACTTGGAAAGGGAATAAAGACATCTCATCGGACACATCAGACGGTCCAGAACGCGCTAGTGTCGAGCTCGAAAAAAGCCAGACCGATCCTGAGATGTGAATTGCCAACATGCTTGCGACACATCATCGGGTGGTTCTGATAAGGACAGATTCTATCAAGGAGGTTTCAATAGCTGGACAGGCGGACCAGGCATCCTCAACCGCGGTCTTGGGAATTCTGCTCAGCGTCAGTGCCAACCTCAAACACTCATGCCCAAGGTGGACAGGCCGGGGTTGGCTCGTATTGCCAGTTGCTGGCTTCACGACGTGTGACGACGTCGACCGATGGCGTTCTCAACGTTCCTTCAAACACGAGAGGCTCATGTGGCTAGTTGAATAGCTCGCTGGCCTGAACGGCACAAGGCGGTCTGTATGGTCGTTGGCAACTTGTCAAGCGACAAGCTATCCGACTACTGCCGCCTCGTCACCAGTCCGTCGTTGACGGGGCGTGCGTTGGTGATGTCGATCGCCAGCCTACTTCGGACAGGCCCGGAGTATCTGCCGATATAGTTCTAGAAGAACGCCATCTACCGCTCTAGCGCTGTCTTGTCCGCAGCCACTTGCCCTCATCAACGGCTCGCGACCTCAATTAACGTTTTGCCTAGTCTACACGTGGTTTCTCGTGCTTCCACTGCCGTTGAGTCAGTCTTGCGTCTTCCGCTGCGGGTGTCGATCAAACGGGTAATTGACCGTCTTCATGCTGTGTCTGTTCATCCACAAGTCGGATCCGAAAGGCCCAACCCGCAGAATCTACCAGAGACCAGTGCAGAAATGGGATGAAGCGGGTCCCATGCAACCACAGCGTGCAATTGTCCGTGGAACAAGTCTTGTTGGCTGACTCGGCCATCCACACCAAAATGGCCAAGCTTATCGGAAAAGCCGAGCGACCACAAGATGTATCATGCTCGTCCGGTTGAGGAAGGCAGATGCAGTATACTGCCAATGAAGTGAGTTGACATACGGGGTGACGCGGTGGCTTCTTGAGACGGACAGCATCGGCTGAGAAGACGGCACGCAGCGGGATTCCGGGAGCGATTCGGCGGCATCGTGTGGGATCGACTTCAAGCCGATCTCCGTCCAACCTGGAGGATCATCACACTCCGACTTGGGAGTGGTAAGAAGGGGCCTTGGGGCTGCAGATACGGCTTCATCCTCTGCGACCTGCCTTGGTCGGATGACGGCGAGTGAGCGGCGAAACATGTTGCCCATTCCAAATCGACGACTTGGCCAGGGCTCATGCAGTCCAGCGTTGGATCTTGATCGCGTCCCACACGATTGGAGTGTTTCACACTTATTTTCAAACATGTCCAAGACGGCCCATCCTGGTGTCGGGGAAACCACTCCTCAGACCAATCCCCCAGCGCAGATCCATCATCCGCGCCGAGGTTCTGCCTTAATACGCTTCCGTTGGCCCAGGGCCATCTCGTCTTTCCGGCTCGTTCAAGGGCGGGGTACGCAAGTATGTACGCAAGTATGCTCGATGGTCGAGGCATCCCATATTGTTGCGCGCGTTTGGGAGATCCGCTGTGTCAGGCAAGTCACTGATGGCGCCTCTTGGATCAGACGACATGCTGATCAGGTAACCTTGTCGCACAGACGAGCGGGCTGCTTCTGGACGGCCGCGCAGCCCGCTGTACGAGTTCTGTCAAAGTCGTCAAATCGAGCTCACAGACACGAGCAGGGCGCCACAAGCGGCGAATCCTCTTATCGCGGCGGCCGATTCATTCCCATATGGGACGGATACAGAAGGTGAAGAAGGGAATTTTTGTTTCAAAAGTCTGTGCTCTCTCTCTCTCTCTCTCTCTCGTTCACAGTACAGGGCAACAGACCGATGTCACCATATGTACCGGATGCATGCGAAAAGAGAAGAGAAAACGAGGGGCAGCAAGCGGCGTCGACCCTCGGAAGCGTTTGGATGGGTGTTATCAGAGGACCATTAAGACCCAGTCCTGTTGCAACAACCTCCCCTGCCTGCCGCAGAAAGTATCTCCACGCACTTAACGCCGTGACCCGGCTTCGGCGTAGAGGTCTCTTTCTCTCTGACACTATGTTGCGCGGTCAGGGTCCGCAAGGTCTGGCGCATTAGGGTTGCCGTCGTCGACTCGCGGCTCTCCGGCTTTGGGCCACCAGAGAACGCTGATCTACGGTACTTGCTACTCACAGGATGGGCAAGAGGGCCCCTATGGGCGTCTGGGGATGGCAAGCGCGCTTGTCTCGCATGGCGAGACACACGTTCTGCATGTGGTGTCCTTGATTTCTTGGTTCTCACGAGGCGAGGGAGGGTCGTCACGAGCCCACCTTGCTCCGCTCTGGAAGTCATGTTGGCGGTGGTGCGGTTCCTGCAGCATCATGACTCTCCTTCTCAGACTGGACTGTGTGTGGGAGGGCCCGGAGTTGTGTGTGAGCGCTGAAGTGAGAACATGCGTCGGCCCATTCCGCAATGCTTAAAGCAAGGTGGTATGGGGGCAGTTATTCCTGTGCAGCCAATCAGGCGGGCTATCGCTGAGATGGCTAAGCGCACGATAGATGTTATACTTTGACACCTCCATAGTCATCATCCAATAGGACCGCTGGCGCAACGGTAGCGCGTTCGACTCCAGCAGTGGCTCAATCGAAAGGTTATCCGTTCAAATCGGGTGTGGTTCAATGCCTCACGCATTCTTTTTGTGTTTCTTGTCATTTTCGGTAATGTTTGTTTCTTCTGAGTTGTAGTGAGCTTGAGGATGAATTTTGCGGTGTTTGAGAGCTATGGGGTGTGATGCGAGTGAGATGAGGACGGTCAGTGACCGCGGGCGTGAAAGTGAAAGTGTAATCCGATTCCTTCTTTTCCATGCAGACCCCCATCTTTGCTGTGAATGAGAAAGATACTATTTGTCTGCCTGGTTCATTCATGAGCATGTGATGGAGTCCATTCAGAATGAGATTTGCTTGAAGAAGCTCATCAAGGACTGAGCTGCTATGAAAATGATGCCTGAGTCCCGCTCATTTTCCTACCTTGTTCTTATAACGTTGTCAGACTGTCCTCAACTGACTCCGGCATTGAGTCACCAACACGAAGCGGGCAGAGTGCCTGACCTCTGGCAAGAACTGCTGCTAGACGTGAATGAACAGCTTGATACTACTGCATGAGCCCAGACGTCCTGCTTCATTAGAGGGTATCTATTGACAGCCTTGTGTCCTTCTCGCGCTACGACCTTCCCCTAAGCAGGGCGACGCAGTACCTGCATTGAGATTGGCGAGCCTCAACAATGGTCAAGAACAAGGGCAGGTATTGTATAGGAGTAATCTGCTCTCGAGATTGAAGCCTCTGGCATCTCCGAAGCTTCTCAGGCGTCTTCTATCAGATGCAGTGGGAATATACCCAACTGCTTTCCCGCACTTGATGAGTCGACTGGGTTCCGTTGAGAGACGGCGGGATTCCAAGTTGACAGCTCAGTTTCTAGCTTTGAATTTTTAGGGGGCATGGGTTTGATGATTCACTGGCGATGGGAAGTGAAGTCAACCTTCTCGGAAGGAAGGTGGCTGAGGGTTGCTCCTTCCTTTTCGTGAGCCGCCAGGGACATGCCCTCCTACCTCTAAACCTTTCACCTTTTACCTTCTTTCAAATTTTCACTTCTCAGGAAGACCTTTATACAAAGCAACAACTTCTTCTTCTTACTTCCAGTCCTCAATCCCACTCCTCTGCCCTGATTTCAGCACATCGACGCTCCCCAATTCGTTTGCCTCTGTCTCCTTCGCGACCGAAACTGCAGATACCACTTGGAAGGCTGGAACCTCTAGTCAAGGTAAGTCGAGTTCTTGTCTACATTCCCGCGACTGTTTCATCTTCTAGGAAAGATCGCTGACCTTCTTCCTAGATTCACAACGATGCCTGACGACGGCGATCACCCCGACGATGCTGGCCATGGTGAGGATACGAAGTCAAGCATCTCCTGTGGCAGATGCAAGCAGCTGGGTCACGAGCTCGCAGACTGTTCTCAAATGGGCTCCAACACCCTAAAACATGGATACATGAAGGGATGTCCGATGTGCAACACTACCAACCATTTCTACGATGACTGCAAGCTACTGCCTGCTGGTGGTGACGAGCTGCTACAACACCATATGGAATGGCTCGTTCGGCGGCGCCGCAACATGCCTCTAATACACACGGCCATAGACATCTGGATACTTGTTTTGGGGTTTCCAGATGATGGATACGGATATCCGTGGTCCCGTTCATTCACCAGAAGTCTGAACAGGAAACCACATTTATTGCCAGGCTCACGCGATTTTCGGGAAATCGCCGAAATCGGTAGATTCTATGACAAGTCAACCGAATCTCTTGTTGAAATTAAGCACCGCGTCGACTTTACTATTCCCGACTGTCCTCATGATAGTCATGACACGAAGAATCTGGTGGGTCGGGTACATACATGTGCGTCCAACCCATGGGAGAACGATCAGAAGCACAACGCCGAGTACACCTTGGCATTTGAGATGATGATGAGGCAGACGAATGAAGGAAAATACAACGATGGTCAGACGCTACGGAGACTGAGAGTACTCAGGGCCGGGAGTATATATCCAGCGGCCTTTGCGAAGGAAAGCAGCGCATGGGCTCGAGCATTCGGCGACTTCCTTCTTCACGACAAGCCTGGCGGTGTGGATGATGTGACTTTTCTCAGGGAACTCAGAGATCAAGCAGAAATTCGGGCAGCAGGTCAATCTCAGTCTCTGCCGCCGCAAGAACAGACACCTAAGCAGTCACCACCAAAGAGAGAGTCACCACCAAAGAGAGAGTCACCACAGAAGACAGAGTCACCACAGAAGACAGAGTCACCGCCCACTATATCCAAGACACCGAAGCGACAGCCACCGCCCAAGCAAGATTCATCATCAGACAGCGACATACGTCTGCTTACTTCTCCGGAGTCTCGCGCTGAGGAGATGGTGATAATTCCTGCATTGCCGCCTACTCAGGGATCACAGACGAAGCGAGCGTCACCAAAGCGCAAACGTCCGGCAGCCACCCCGGAGCCTCGCACCAATGAAAGATTCTCGATAGCTTCATCAACACCTCTCAGAGTTCGCCAGCGAATCTGGGCGGCGCTGTGTCCAGACAGAGAGTGCGTCGGTGGCTACCCCTTTGAGGTTCCCATACCTCCGATTGCCCAACTCAAGGCTCATGTGATTGACGATCTGGAGGACAACAACTCGAATGGAAATTCAGGCAAGCGACTTCCTCTGGCAAACTACATCCACCCACATGTCACCATCAGCCTCACCAAACGAGAGCGACCCGACGGCGAGCCCGTTCATACGCTAGTGCTTGGCCTGACTAAGGCAGCGTCCATGCTGCGCTTCTCCCGGCTTGGGCTGCTGCAGGCCTACGACATGGCTGTCTGCTGGGCATCCAAGGTCGATAAAGATGGCGTCAGCTTCTCTCTTCGAAACGCTTTCGACGGCTGCAACGCGGTGACAGAGAGCTTTGCGGGGGACAAAATGCGCATCCAGGAAATGGCTGAGCTGGAGAAGCAGATTGAGAGACTGGCGCCCCGGTGCTCGCAATTCAACATGGTGGTGGAGCGCATCAAGGACTGGATGGAAAGGAGCGGACACAAGACCCAGTATACGTCCCGAGCGGCTTGGAGCGATACGCTTCGCAAGTGGTGGGAAGATGAGCATGATGATGTGGGCGGGCTGGATCGAGAGGAGCTGAAGGAGGCTTGTCTACGGGCCATAGAGGCCAAGATGAAGGAATGGAAGAAGGAAAAGGAGCGAGCCCTCGAGGAGCCCGACTCTGACCTGGAGATTATCGAGTCTCCTCCCAAGAAGAAGGCTCGGTCGCGTTGATGTATACGCGCGATACCATGGTGCGTAGTTACAGATCAATGCTAAGTACGGTACACCAGATCCCTTGTCCAATAAGTCATACCGGTGTACACTTTCCTAGACCCCTTGCTTTGCCTCCTGGATCGGCTCCCCGGTGTCTTCCACCGCATCCCTCTGCTTCCTTCGATCCCTCCTAACCAAGAACCAAATCGCACCAGTAATGAAGAACTGCACCACCATCGTCGCCACAACACTCCTCAACCCGCGCCGAAAGTACGGCGCCTCAACAGCAGGGAACTGCAGCAGCTGCGCCCAGGCAACAATGGCCTGCCCAATGGCATTCATCGACGCCGTCACAATAGCGCGCTCTTCGGCATCCCCGGCCATGGTGATCGTAGCCCACGCCATCGTCAGCGAGGGGATCGCGCCCTCGAACCCGTTGAGCATAAACGCCGCCAGACGACCGCTCTCGCCGACATCCCACGCCACAAGTAGGATCACGCCAACTAGTGACGGCACCGTGGCGGCGATGGATAACCCCGCGAACCAGCCCGTGCGATCGGCCACGGCGCCCGCGGCAAAGGCCGAGACGACGGAGATGGCCGTCGCGACGGTGGGCAGGGTGTTGATCCGCGTCACGGAGTAGGTTCCGGGAAAGGCCTTGAGGTAGAGGGAGAAGGGAGATCCGCTGGGCTGCAGGTTCTCGTTCATGATGGTCCACTGCGCGACGAAGAGGTACCAGTGCCAGCGACGGAACACGCGCCCGAAAATGTCCCGCGAGACCTTGAGCCGCGGCGGCGCCGTCAGGCCCCGGAGGCGGTCGCGCGCGATGGCGTAGAGGCGTGGCGGGAGCAGTCTCGGCCTCGACCGTGCGGGGACGTCCGGGAAGACGAAGAAGCCGACGAGGGCGATGGGGATGGTGATGACGGCGTCGACGATGAAGAGCCAGCGCCAGCCGGCGAGGCCGTGGGCGCGGTGGAGGTTGGTGTAGGCGGCGGCCTGGAGGTAGCCGGCGAACATTGTGCCGAGTGGCGCGGCGACGTAGAAGAGGGCGACGCGGCGGCCAACCTCGGCGGGCTTGTACCAGGACCCGATGACGTAGATGATGCCGGTGAAGGAGGAGGACTCGAAGAGGCCGGTGAAGAAGCGCATGGCGTAGACTGTCTGCACGTTGCGCGCCCAGGCGAGGCCGAGGGTGGAGAGACCCCAGCCGATCTCGAGGATGGGGAGGACGATGTTGATGGGGTAGCGGGTTAGGTAGTAGCAGGCGGGGATCATGGAGGTGCAGTACGAGGACCAGAAGACGATGGTCATGTAGTTGAGCTCGTTTCCTTGGAGGTTGAGGTCCTCCTTCATGCCGCTGTGACTCTGTTAGTCTTGGGGTATTGAGAAAGGGGTACAATGTGGAGTGAAGAGGTTACCTGACGTAGGCATTGGTCAGGGAGGACTGGTCGAGGTACTTTGTGAAGAAGCAGAGACAGCCAAAGACGAGGATCAATAGGTCCAGACGGAGGACAAGTTTCTTCTCCTCGCTGGGCGTGTCTTTGGAGTACCAACGGATCGCCGTCATGAAACGAATCCATGGGCCGTCGCGGGATGTATTCTGGCTTTCATCGTGAGTGTTGGCTGTGTCAGTGGCCACCGCAGGAGGCGACTTTTCCTCGAGTGAAGCCATCGCCATTGTTTCAAGCACAGACTAGGGAGAGCAGTTCCAAGTTCAGATCTGAGTCCATCCCCAAAGAAGAAAATGCTTCTTATGGCCGACGACCTGAGCCTGCTGCGAGGTCGCAGAGTCATCGGCACTCGCAGTATGGATCGCATCAGTCCTGGCAATTAATGATTCGTTGACCCGTTTCGACCAATCTCCGCGCCGTTGGTTGGATTGCAACAATGGCGCAATGGTAGCCCACTATGGCACATGGTCCAATCCAAGCTGTTCTCCTCCTCTGCAATGCTACCGTCTCTGCAGCTTTCCTGATGGTTATGCTCTGGGGTGGAGTCCTTTACAAAGAACCCTGATAATCGATCCGGCCAGTCGACCAGGCTAAGCTTTTGAGGCGTTTGGACCGATGGCTAAAGTGGAGACACCAGTTCTATGAGCGCCGTTGTTCGGAGCCGGGCCCGAGACCCCAGAGCCGATTGAGCAACTTCACTTGGACAGATGTGCAGATAGACTCCGCTTGATGAACCGCAAACCCAAAAACTTTTGTATATCATCCATTGCCCCCGGAGCATGTCCCTAGACATCCATTAATTAAGCAGCGCCTTTCCACATCCCCTTCGCTACAACATCCTAGACCAAAAACCCCCTGCGCGCCTTCACCGGCGCCCTACCGCGGGCCAGTAACGCCTTCTTCGCATTGACAGAATACTTCTGCGCCTTGGGCGCCAGCCTCTCGTCCTCCTTCTTGACGGTCCGGAACACGGTTGTGCCAACGACCTCGTCCCTGGGCGCGCGGGCCTCGCGCAGGAGCTGGGCCTCCGCCGTCTCGAGCTTCCGTGCCTTGCGGGGCTTGCGATCCCCCGCCCCGTCGCTCTCGCCGTCGTCCTCCGAGTCGGACTCGAGAAACTCGGCCGGGAGCTCCGAAGGGAGATCCAGCCTCTTCCGGCGTCCTGTGGTGGTAGCTTCCCGCGCCGGGGTCTCGGTCTGATCCTCGCCCTCCTCCTCTTCGTCACTCGACTTCGTCGCCGGTGCCGCGTCCTCCTGAGCCTTGCGCGCTGCGGCCTGTTCTTGGAGTCTGGCGTTGCGCTCTTGGCGCTTGCGCTTCTGGTTGGCTTGTTGTCTACACTTTTGGTTAGAATCACTGAAAGGCAACTCACAGATAGCAGCGAAACTCACTCTGCAATGGCCTTGTTGGCAGCCTGCGCAGACTTCTTGGCCTGCACGGCAGCCTTGGACGTAGAAACAGCCTCAGGCGCCGCATCCGAGTCGGAATCGTCGTCGTCGGCGCCTCCTTCGGCAACGAGCGCCGTCGTGGCCTCCGCCGCAAGCTGTTCCGCAGCATCATGCGCGTCATCGCCAACTGACTCGGGCGAGGCATCAGAATCCCCAATCTCATCACCGTCCGTCCTGGGCGCGGGCTGCTCGGCGCCTGTGATGATCTGCTTTTCCTTGACGTCCTGCGCGCCCGCAGCCGCGCCTGCTTCCGATTTCAGCTCCACGACAAAGGAGGCCCTCTTTTTTGATGAGGACGACCGGCTGGTCTCATCCTTTTTGCTGGCGGCCGTCTTGCCCTCCTTTGCTCGGACCGGGAGTTTCTGCTTCTTGGTGTTCGCAGCTGCGGCGGGCGCCTCGGCGGCTGTGCGCTTCCCGTTCCGTGTGGTAACCATTTTGAATGTGAACCCTTGAATCTGTCGGGGGCGGTTGCTCGTTGTGAGCGGCTGGCCGTGAATCCGCCTTTGAAATTAGAGGTTGATGCGTCGCTTGTTACACAGTAAATGCCGTTAGAAGGCGACCAATTGTTGGTGAGTTGGAATGTGAACTTTTGTCAGTGAGGTAATGAGTGAAGTGTGAAATGTCGATGAAATGTCGTCGCGAAAAGGTGTAGTCGCAACTTTTTTTTTCGAGGTGGAGACTGCCGTCAAGCAGATGAGATTCGATTGGCTGGTCGTCGTAGACCCACTTCACTGGCGTGGACCTCACTCGAGCTTCCCCGGAGCTTCACTCTCACCTTCTCACTCACCCTCATCAGCTTCAATTCACGACATGGCAAAGAGTCCTCAAAAAAAGGGGGTGAAAGCGACTTCTTGGCTCATTTGATTCATTGGGTTTATACCTGTAGACTCTCAAACGCGCATTGAGTTGCACTTCTACAACCGATGAATCACCGGCGATCGCGCCACATCTCGTCTCATCTCACACACTAGACGCGGAGGGAACCTCTTCCCCCCAACACCATCGCCAACCATGTTCCGCCTCGCAACAGCTCCCGGCCGCACCTGCGGCGTCAGCAGGCATCTCCTAGCCGGCCTCTCCATGCCGGTGTCATTACCATGGCCCCCTGCGGTACCGTCATCACCACCAACAACGACGCCGACAACGACAACGAGGACGCTAAAGACAAAGAGCAAACTCCGGCCCCTTCCGGGCCTCAAAAAGTCGAGCGCCAGAGAGGAGAAGCCAAAACCCCGGGACGTCGTCTTCGAGCCCCGATCTCTCACCGAGTTCAAGATTCTGCTCCGCGAGCTTTCCTACATGAACGTCACGCCGGAACGGGCCTACGACGTCTACATGAAGTACATGAAGGCTCTCGCCCGGCCCGATAAACCACAGGACTGGCAAAAGGCATTCGTCAGAGGTTAGCACACCCCCTTTCCCCCTTTCCCCCTTTACTCGCTCACTACTTCGCGCGCCAATGCTAACGAGCCCCGCAGAAAACAACATCACGGCGGGCGAACTCCACGAGACCGCCGGCCTCCTCTACTTCACGAAGAACAGCTCCGAGTCCGAAGTCATCCTGCAGTTCAACATGATGGAGACTGCCGCCGGCCTCGGCTATGACCCGGCCGCCCTGACCCTCGGCCGCCACCTCTACAGGGCCGAGGGCAAGAAAAACTACTACGACTGGGACAACCCGCGCTGGCAGCACACCCGCACGCGGTGCCTGGCCCTCATCGCAGCGGGCCGCGATGCAAACGCCATGGTCGTCGCCGGCCTCCGCCACCTCCACCGCAAGACGGAGCGCGACGACTACCTCGCCCTCGAGGCCTTCACGCAGGCCCTCGCGCTCGGCAAGGACGCCGCCTACTTTGACTGGATGTGCTCCGCGCTCGAGGGCCAGGGCGACGCGTACCTACGGCTCGGCGAGAAGGAGAAAGCCAAGGACACCTTTTTCTACCTGGGAAAGCTGGGCTACGCGCGGGGGTGGTCGCGCCTGGCTGACATGTACCCGGATGACAAGGGCGCAGGGGGATGGCTGTTCAAGGCGGCCGGGGCGGGCATCCCCGGTTCCTACCAGAAGCTGGTGGACCATTGCGAGAAATGGCGCAAGTTTTGCGCCCCGGACAAGGAGTGGGCAGCCTATTGGGAGCGTCACGCTTCGGAGTGGACGCGGATACTAAAGGCCTCGATCGCCAGAAAGAAGTTGAATCGATCGAAATAGATATTTCACGGGGTTGCGTGTATAAAAATATGTACAACTAAAAATCTACTCACGTCGGCCGACGTCGCCCATGATGTATTAAACTAAGCGTATTCCTGCCTGTCCTCCCACCCGGGCTGGAGGTAGCTCCAGTCGCGGTTGAACTTGAAATCCGTCTGATACTGCCCGTACCGCACCAGCTTCAGCCCGTCCAACTTGGCACCCGCGTCGGTCTGCGCCCACAGGCTGACAGCCAGGGTGTTGCGGCCACGGTTGTTGAGCACACCCGGCGGCACGGGGAACCGTGTCTGCGGGCCAATGTGCGGGACGTATTTGCCGTACTGGTACCCGTTGATCCAGAACATGACGCGTGCCGCTGTTCCCGCGGGCGCGGAGAACTCGATACCCAACGGCGCGTCCAGGTCCGAGTCAATGTTGAGCGTGAAATCCGTGACGTAGAAGCGGATGCCCGCGCCGGAGAGACCGACGAGCGGGGACTCGGGCTTCCAAGAGGAGCCGGTGGGCGCAAAGCCGGGCAGGTGCCAGCCCAGGCGCTCCGGGTAGAGGCCGCCCTCGTTCATGGGTCCGCGGACGGGATCGATGTTGGCCTCGCCGCCAGCCGCGCCCGCCAGCTTCCACAGCTTGAAGCCCGTGTTGGTGCGTGTGCTGCCGGGCTGCAACTGGGCGCCCAGGATGCCGCGTGGGTTATTGATACCCTGGGCCGTCGAGGCCTGGTCGTGGCCATGGTAGTCGACCACAACCGTGACGACGTTGTTCTTCTCAACCAATGCGGACCGAGGGAATGTGAGGGTCTTGTTGGTTGTCGTTGCCGAAGCGGACCCAACATCGCCGCCGAGGAACTGTCCATTCACCCAAACCGACCATCCAAACGCCAAACCGCCCGAGGCCGTGATATTGACTGAGGTGGCGTTGGCGCCGTCAAAGTAACCGCGGTAGATCTTGGCACCCGAGTAGAAGCCATAATCGGAGCTGTAGAGAACCGGTAGAGTGATCGGAGCATACGGGCTAGGCGTCGTCGTCTTGTTGCAGACCGTCCATCGGGAATCGTCGTAATTGGGCGCCGCTTCAGGAAGGGCTTCGGCGGCGCGCCAGTTTGACAGCTCGGGGAGGGTCACCGCACGGTCCTCGGCGCCGGGAATTTGAGCAGTGAAGGAGCCGTACGTAGTCTTTGTGGCGGCCAGGCGCAGGCCATTCCAGTCAATGGTCTCGATGGGCTTGTTGCCGACGTAGGCCTCAATCGTCGTGGCCTTGTCGCTGTCACCAGAGACGTGGAGGACGCCGTGAGAGATGCTGGCGCTTCTGACAAGGTAGGGACCCTGGATGAAGAGCTGCTCGTCGGGCTTTACAGTAGGGTTTGACGTTGTCGGGGGCGCCCAGAAACGCCACGCCGACTTTTGCTCAAGGAGGTAGACGAGGGCGCCGTTGGAGAACTTGACTACTGTGGAACCGGCGACCTGCTTCCACGTAAAAGCTGAATGGTTACCGTTTGTCGTCTCCTGCAAGTCCGTATCGCCAAACACCTCAAATGTGAGGTCGCCTGCGTCCTTGAAGGCGAACTCTCCCGTCTGACTCTCTTGGAGGTAAAAGACGAGCACCTCAGTGTCGAAGATGCCATAGGTAGCAATATCCGCCGAGGCGTACAGCAGAGTGTGCTTTCCAAAGACGTAATCCGTGACGAGGATCTTGCTCTGGCGGCCGTTGAGCACGACGTTCGGGACGGTAACGGGTCCGGCTGTCGTGTTGAGGGTGACATCGAACTGGATGGGAGTCATGGACTTGGTGCTGGCTTGCTGCAAAACGGTGAAGCCAGCCTGGGTATCGGGATTACGGAGAACCCAGCTAAAGGCTGAGGATGAAGAGAGCTATGGGCGTTAGCAGGGGTATTATAGAGTGTCCGCGCGACTTACGCCGTAGCCAGTTCCGTTCCCAATCATCTCAACCTTGAGCAGATCCGACGAGACGCGGGTGAAGAGTCCGATGAGCTTCGTCTGGAAGAGCTTGGTCCACTGCTCGCGGGTCTCGCGGAGAGGGGCGCTGTAGTCGTAACTCGTGTAGACCTGAGGTGCGGCGGCTGTTCTTATTAGTCTCTGCAGTGCTTGTCCTTATTTATGTAGGACTCACAGTGTCCCCAATTTGTTCCACCATAGCTCATGTAGATGCTCAGCAGGGTCACGCGCTGGCCAATGTTGTTCTTGTAGTAAACGTCCGCAAATGCCGGGTCATGCTCCGAAGCACACTGTTCTGCACGTCAGCACGCAACCCTCCAACATTTCAGAGAGCACGTACCTGGTCATAGAAAGTCGGGCTTCCCCAGTTGGAAAACCAGCCGCCCTCAAACTCGGCAAGGTAGCTCGGCTGCGTAAAGGAGTAGTTGGAGAACCACTGGAAGTAGGTCCGAACAACGTTGAAGCCAACCGTTGGGTCGGTGCAGGAGAGGGCGCCTGGGTAGCTGTCGAGTCCGTAGACGTTGACGGCGCCGCCGACGTTGTTGTAGTCTGTGGACCACGACCGGGAACGCATACCCTTTTCGTTGTGCGTCAACGGCACTACGATGCCGGCGTCGTGGAATGCCTTTTTCAGCTGCTCCATGTAGATGACAGAGGTGTGGTCGGGGGAGTAGACGCTCTCCTGGTACTCGTTCTCGACTTGGTTCAGGATGACGGGCTGGGCTTGTTAGCGGGTTGTAGATGAACGGGGATGAAGGAACCTACGCCGCCATTGGTGATTTGGTTCGCGGCAATAATCTTGCCCACTTGCGTGATGAAGGGGAGCCATCCGGCTTGGTACCGCTCGTCAGAGGTTCTGATCTTGCCGAAGCGCCCATCGGAGCCCCAGAGAGCGAGGCCGCCGCCATTGGTTTCGGCCTGGACGTGTCAGCCTCTCAACATGGCCGAACAAACTAGGTTCTCACATTGCAGTAGGGTCCAGCTCTGGCAATCACATAGAGTCCAGCCTCTTTGCAGTAATCGAATAGTCGTTGAATGTTCTTGCCTGCCGTCTCAAAGTCGTAGACTCCCTCGGCAGCCGAGTGGTACGACCAGAAGAAGTAGATGCTGAGAAGTACGGTGAGCGTTCTGGGGTCTTGTTTGCATACAGACGGCACTCACCTCACGGTATTGAAGCCATTGGCCTTGAATTTCTGCAGAATATCCTTTTCGTCGAGGGTTAGTATGCGAAGGGAGGTCCTCAACAGGCTCAACTCACGGGCCACAATTCGGGGACGGCTGTGTGGGAGTCAAGAGTTAGTTGCGAATCGATGCCCGAGGTCGGGGTTCCTTACGCGTTCTCTGGTAGTGAAATTCGGCAGAGCTATCATCAGTCAACACCTAAACCCATAGACGATTGATGGGGCTACACGAACAGGATGTACGTCCGGGTATCGTTAATGACGAGACTGTACTTGTCCCACGACACCACATCAGTGAGGCCATTGTCAGTCGCCCAAGCCCCGGACGTAAACAGCCATATCAAGGCCGTCAAAGCCCGGTGAAAACGCATAACAGCACAACCTTGGCAGGTCCTAAATTCGTAGATGTGCGGATCGAGCGAGAATGGCGTTGCATTCTAGATCTGCTATGCTGCGAACCACGCGGGAACGAACCGACTGATAAACGATCGTGAGTCCATCACTGTCAATCACAGGCCGCCGGGCATCAATCCCAGTCGCGGAAATGAGGACCGAATGCGACATCACGAAGAGCTGCATGGCTTTCCCCCCACAGGCGCAGACCACCAGCTGTTCATTCGAGATTCCAGCAATCAGATGCTCTAGGTCTGGCCGTCATTACTTCATTGCGGGGTATCCCGGCCGTTTACTGCATAGGCTGCGTGTCTCGCGTGAGAGTAACGCAGGAACCGTGGTGGCCTCGCTCGTACTGTCGCGCAATTCTTCCGCTGGGCCTTGCAAGTGTAATTAAACGGCAAGCCGCACGCATCCGGCGCAAGGGAAGATGCCACGTCGAGCTGCCCGTTTGGACCATGGCTTAGAGAAAAAAAGATGAAAGCTCGGCGTTGCTTTGGCCGAAATGTTTGGTCGATTGCGGGGTCGCCCAATGATCAGCTGGAGATCAGAGGGGCCACCCGAGCTTTCCCCCAGATGCCAATGGAAGCGTACCTGTCAGAATGCGGGAAAGCACGCAGACAAGCTTTTTGGGACATCGCCCCGATGTCTCTCGGCTGGTCCTTCCGGGCAACCCAAGCATCAAGTTCTCATCATTCCCCCATGTACGTGTGCATCACATATATCTGTATCTGGGCCAGTAAGACTTCTTGCCGCCATTTGTCGGGCATTACGAGATGATTCTGTGGATTGCGTTCGATCATGGCACTTGGGGCTGCTCAAAACTTCCTCCTAGGCTTACCTCGAGGGACCATCCTCTCGTCAGACGATAACCAGACCTAGGCAAAAGGCGCTGGCCATCTTTGCATCTGGCTTTGAAATCAAACTCTCGAATCCATCTTACGAATTGTACAGCACTTGTGGAACCACATTTTGATGCCTACGCCTCTCATCGCCTAGTTACGACTCTGCAGAGAAACCATCTTCTCAGACCTCAGCGAGCCCTCTGAACCAAGTCCATCGATGGCGGGAGCTTCTCGACCCGAACCAATCGCTCCATTGTCGAAGCCGCGGCCCTCCTGGAAGCAGTAGTCGACAGCACATCCTGATGGAAGGCGCAGTGGCCGTGCAGGAGACGACTCTGCCCAGCATTCGAGCTCTGGTCCAGCTGGAACGAGAGGAACAGAATTCACGACTTCCAAGGCGAACTGCGCACAATTGCGCCCAGCTTCATTCCAAGCCGACGGGCCGAAAGACTGTCTAAAGGAGAGACTGGGGGTCTGCAGGGAACAGTCGATGCGCCGGTCGAGCTCACGTCTTCAGCTGGAGTCCTATTCCAGGCCAGAATGCAGAGCAACAGTCCACGAGCATAACCGCGAGGTTTCCAAAACGTATGCCGACGAGCGTTCCGCCAGGTCTTGTCATTTGCGGTCGGAGGGTTGGAAAGAGCCAATCTCTCTGCTAGCCAACGTCACGATGCACTGTTACCTCTGCTAGCAAAGCGATCCTCCCTGGACACTCGCAAAATGGCCGACGGCGTCGTAGACTGTAGGACGATATTCTCGCGCATGGTCAGTCTTGCAGAATTCCTCTGTGTGGTTCACTTAGCGTTGCATCATGCTCAGTCCCTGAGGCCGTCTTCTTGAGTTACAAGCAACACTCCATCCCTCCAGCATCCCATATGCTGCAAATGTAAACGACCTAGGCTGACCAAGCCCGTCCAGGCACTTCGCTATCAAGGTTTGGGAGCTTCATGGAACCATGGCTGATGTATCAGCTAAACCAATAGGATGAAATCGCATTGCTGATTCAGGTGCCACTCAAGAATGCGTCGCAAAAAGCATCAGAGGCCCGACTCTTCGTATATCATGACGTGCTGAGCTCAGGCTACCGCCTGTCCCTGGGTATATCTAGCCACGATATACCCCTTCTGGGCCCCTCGATCCCGTTCCGGATTCACGATGAACTCTCATCTCCCATTTGCACAGCAGCCGGGCGACGCCGTACTCCTACCTCCAAGCAGGGCGGCCTGCAACTGACTCGAGGCATATCTTGGCCGTTGCAAAACCACACTTGGACTGCAAGGCTGCATGTTGCAACGGCAAGCTAGAACCTGTCAACCACAGCCCTGCATATTCTCTTCCCTGGTTGACTTCACTGGTGAATCGATAGCGCCAAAGCTTCGGCGACCCCCTGAGGGGATGAGTACACCTTGCACCAGCCTCCTTATCAGCTTTCGCGGGTAATAAAGCAGAAACTTGATGCGAAATGCCCCTTACGTTTTCTTTCCCTCGGGGGAGCAGGGGCTGGTCGTGCCGTAGGCGACGGACCGGGGTAGGCGAAATACAATGGGAAGGGAAATGTAACGGCAAAGGGATGCATTTTAGCCCCCTTTCCAAGCGATGATGAAACCTGGTAGGCCAATCCCCTTCATCAAATCTTAATATCAACTCCCCGAAGCTGTTGCCATTTTGCTGCATCTGGTCAATTTGCCTCGCCCCGGATTCCCAACTCTGCCACGCAGCACCCTGGGATGCCGCGCGGGAGCCGGAGAATATCCCATATACATGCATATCCGTACGGGAATTGTGCAGCGCCGCAAGAGCAAAGTCGGACGATGTCGGGCGACGTCCATCGTGCGACTTCGGCCTCGACCTCGATCCAAGAGAGATTCGAACCCCTACGACGAACTTGACCGACTGTGGGGGCCACCGGTGAGTCGCCGACCTCGAGAAACAGAGCGCATGTGCTCGGTCGCATGCACCAGCCGCGGGCAAACAAGTGCTGGCTGTCCACGATGGTTGTGACCGATGACGAGCCGGCGGCGGTGGCCACCACCGTGCCATGGCGGAGCAGGAGGCACAGACTTGGGCAACGTCCCGGCGCCCCGATACAACTGCACTGGCTGGACCATCGTGGGATCTACCCGACGGGTCTGCAGCTTACCGCGAGCGATGGCGGGATGAAGTGTTTTTGAACTGCCTGCGCGGTCACCGACATGTGCTCCCGAGCATCACTTGACGACGGCTGCGCAGCTGGCATCGACATAGACACCTATCAGTACGTAATGAGATGTTGCCAGCGTATCCTCTTTCTCGGCCACAGGACGACCTCGCCTGAACCCAAGAATCAGAGAAGTGAAGTCAAACACACATGGCGCCACCTAGAGACTGTCGACCACGTGTAGTTGCATCAATCCGGCCAGACACCAGCTATCGAAGTAGAAGATGCTTCCGGAATGGGAGAAACGAAACAGGAACCGTTAACCGGAAGCTCATCGAGTCTGGTAGATCCCCACGTGGCGCGCGCGCGCTGCTTGCCATCGTCCCGTTTCAGTTGTTCCTGGACAAAGAAGACGACGGTAGCATCGAGCTACCTATGGTGAATTGCAACGCTCGCCCGTTGTGCGCGCTCGCAAGCCGCAAACGGCCAATGGCCTAGCCAGACTTTGACCCTTTTTGGGGCGCCGACTAAGACGAAACTCTGGTGCTGGAGCGCCGTGCGAACCTTTTTCTTCTCTTTCCAAAATTGGCAACAGAAGGATCGGAGCCGTTGACAAGTGCTGTCGAAAGAACATGGAGAAGCAGAATTTTTTCTGGCCTCTTTTCTTTTCGTTTCAACCCCGTCAAACATGTGTGCGGGCTGACACGTTGTGGGTGGACCTGGGAGCGGTTCGCAGAAGGGCGGGCGGACGGACGGCAGACGAACGTGGGCGCGCAGTGATGCCAACTGCACCGAGGGTTTAACGTTTTGTCCAAGGTGCGGTCATGGCGGGGATATCCCCTCGAACCCCCAGAATAACACCGAGTCATTGCCAGCAAAAGCCGACTTTTTGTTCACTTGGCTGCCCGAGCTGTGGCTGCTCGTGGTTTGTGCAGATGAGCCCCTCTTCTGACAGCGGCTTTTCCAAGCAAGATCCTAGAGCCGACTGCGAATGGGAAGACTCGGCAAAGCGCAACGGCCGGTTCTTGATGAGATTGCTTCTTCTCGGTGCTGATTGCTGCGAAGAAGTTTGAAATCTGGGCCGTACTCCGCAACAAGTGGAATTGATGACTCCTTGGCATCCGCTTCCCCTCTTGACGTCGTCGCTCGCGTGGTGGGAACAGAAGGGGCGGGAAAAAGTTGATCTGGGCAGAAAAGGACTCAGAATGACAAAGCAACCGGCTAAAGGTACGGAGTACGTACTTGGAAGGGAACAGAATGGGCGGAACGCTGTAAATGGGCAAAAAAAAACTGGACCGCTACTCCACCAGAGATGCGGCAGAGTGAGCCCTAAACGCAGGTACAAGGCACATCTGGCCCGGCGTTCTTCGTCTGAACGAGATGCGACGAATGAGATGCGACGGATTTGCTGCGATCCCATGGGGCCGCGGAACGGCGAGCGGTCGCCTCAGCATCGCATCGCAGCACATCGGGGCAAGGATCATGTACATGCGGTACGTATCGTCGACGAGAACTCTGCATTCGCAGGATGGCCGACGCAGGGCACAAACTTTGTACGGGCGTAGGACGGAGACGTTGGGCTCAAGAGACACTGGGCACATTGTGTGTCAGTCAATGGCCATCTTCCGACCCTCCATCGCAAGAGCACCCTTTGTTGTATTCGTATGGGGCGAAGGCAGAATTAGACGAGAGACAGAGACTCACCAATGCCGGCCGGCCCAATGGCGAGGCACCAACATGCCAACCACAGGGCCTGTCTCATCTCTAATCCATCTCCCATCGACGTGAGAGATGACGAGCAGCGGGGGAGGGGTGGGCTGGGCGTCTCTGATTGGAAAGCGTCGGAGAAAAAGGAAGCAGGAATAGAAGATGTGGAAATGCGCCGTCAGCCCCCAAAAGAGCGCCGGCGTGCGCCCAACAGGCTGGCTGCCGCTGGTGGCCGGGGATTGATCAGCACTGCAACAGGTCTGCAGAGAGTACTCCGTCCTTACATGAGTAGGTATGTAGTCACGGTAGTATACTCCGTAGATTCATTCTCCGAGATGAATCTCAGATGCGTTCTTTCGTCATCGGCGCCGCTTCTTCCACTTGTTCCAAGGCCAAAGGAGTTCCAGGCTTCTGGCCGTGGATCTAATTCCCGCAGACCCCGTCGAGCACGTTGGATCCTGGCGGTCCTCCGGCCTTGTCGCTCGTGTCAGGCCTTGTCGTGCCTTGTCAATGTCGTGCCCTGCCCTGTCGTGCCGTCCTCTCGCTTGCCGGGGAAAAGGCAATTTGCAAGCCCGCTGCGGCCTGTGCCAGGCTGGGACAGTGAGGCCCATTCTCGGCCAGGGCAGTGTCGTGGAAAAGTGTGGCCATGTGGAGAGACACGGAGTCGAGGACTCAGAAGTGGAGGGCGTGGTGGACCATGGCCCAAGGCTTCACAAGTCAGAACTCAGGACAACAGTGAGTGAAATTTGGTGGAGGGGAGG